CTTGCATACATTCAACAATTTTTAGTCAAATACCGGTATAAACTTGAAAATTAGAGTAATGTTGCTGTGTAGCCCCCCACTGCGATTCAGTCACATGATAAAAGCAAGCACAGTTTTTTACATATGAAAAATATACGTAATTTCCCCTATTTTCCAGCTGTGACACATTTTCATGATGAAAATGAAGCTCTTCTCATGCATAAATTACGAATGTGCTATGTCAAATGTAACTTTTTTTCTGTTGTCATAGGCTTTGCTATATTTTCAGCCAGAGAGCCATGAAGCCGGCCGTACCTTCAGAAAGATAGAATTTTACGCTGCGTGGCTGCTTTCTTCAGATTGACCGTTTTTCGGATGACAAGAACATCCTCGAAGATGATTTATAGTCGGGACCAGCGAGTTATCCGATTTATTGCACTACAGCAATTTATTGGGCATACGGTAGATATCAAGGGGTCTATTGACCTAACAAATGAATCGAGCTATCAAAGGGATTGAATGGGAAAAATCTCATAATTGGAAATGAGTATAAATTTCTTTCTATTCTGCAGGTACGAGTCTAAATGTGGAACGAAATCTATTGAGTCTCATTTACTTCTGTGGTGCGTTTAAGATGTCCAGTGCTGAAGCTGGCACGGCGCTGGCACGAAAAGGTCGGGGCGCAGCTTTTTTGAGGGGCAGAGGAGATTCATATGATACTCTGATCGCCCTTTCAGAAGCAATGGGTATTATGCAACATCTTTACAAGTTATGGAGGTTCACTTAAAATATTAGCCCAATTTTGTCATCAGTTTTTGATTTTTCTGCTCGATTTACGCAAGAAATCCTTGAATGATCCTATTTATTGGGTTGGCTGAAAAATAACGATTGTACTTGGTGTTCTAGAATTGTAATAGCAAAGTTCTATATTCATTTATGGTAGCTGGAAGGAGAAAAAACACAGTGCTCAAATGGCATTATAAAATGAAATGTTGATTTTCCACTAGTCTAGACAGAAAATCTTTTAATATTGACAAAATTTTTGCTCAGGTGTGCGTGATAGTAGAGCTTTGCTGTCTCCCCCCCCCCCCCCCCCCCGACACAGGAAAATGAACTAAATAGCATCCACCTACTTGAGTTGTTATATTCGTGTTTGCATGACAAAACGAAATTATTCTTAGTCAACGTGATAATTTTCTCAGAAAGTGGCAAGTTTTCTAAAATGCATTAATTGCTTCAGAACCGTGCTTTCCCCATATATTCTGGCAGAAAATTTTCCTTCAGTTATACTAGAAATGTATGCTGAGCTAGGCCTGCGACTATCTTTTTTCATGTGGCCAGACAAATTAGCAGAATTTCTCTGACATTCCTGAGGAAAAGGCTTGCAATGAGCATGCGTGATAGACATCCAAGCTGATGTTATTACCCCTGGCACACTATGTTTTTTCGACAATTAGTAAAGCAAACACTGTATGTAGCGGAAATCAAAACGTGAAGATTACAAATGCTTCAGGACTAGCAGAGTAAGAAATATCTGATAGTGCATGGCAAAGTGCTTGTGAGCGTAGTTTCTAAGAGTCAAAATGAATGTATATCTTAGGAATGTTTAAAAATCGGAATATATCTGCCACTGAAAATCTGGGCTTACTTTTTGTTCTGACCTGTTACTTGCTGCGAAATCGAATTTCTATGTCGGAGAATTCACATCTTGCTAATCGGAACATAAAGCTTATGGTCCGCTTCGACTGAAATCTATAATGGTGTTCAGCACTTTTTCCTCTTCACTGTGTTCCTCAAAGCTTATAACTTTGCTCGATTGCTCTACACAAAATTCCATGACATATATGTGCCTCATGAAAAATTGCATCAATTATAGGCTCTTAGATTTGGCTTATGATATACTGTTCCTGCGGTGACGACAACATTTGCGCGGAGCAAATGGTATGTTAGTTGATGCCGATGACCTGCTTGCGGCCCTCGCTCAAAAAATAAACATGGAGCACACTAGCCATAGTTTACGCGCAAAGGTTGTCCACATTGTATGAAAACTATGTTAAGCTAACTAATCTACTAAAAAAAACTATAAGTCAACAAAGTCGTGACGACAGATTTGACTGCGCAACTTGCGAAAGTTTGAACTGCAAAATAGATTCAACACGCGTACAAAATGAATCACTTAAGCGCACATCTTGGTCACTACAAGTACCTAGTAGCTATCATTTGCATGCAAAGGGACTCCAATTAAAGATGGAAGCAAAGAAGACGAGGCTGCCGAAAATGAGTACGCGCGCGAACGCAGTCCAATCACGATTTTATGATTGACCTATAGGTCATTCTAAAAATCGTGACAAGGAGTTTGACTACGATCTTTGCGCACACAGGGGCATAAAATACCCATACACAAAGGCATCACCTGAACGCTCAGCTCGGTCACTTCCAGTGTCTGAATGCAGTCATATGTAAGCAGAAAAACAAAAAATACCATTATATGTAAGCAGAAAGCGTTCGACTAGAGGTAGAAAGCAAGAAAATGCGGTTGGAGGTGCCTGCGCGTTGCGCGCGGTCACTTCATCGTCACGATTTTTCGAATGCTCTATATATACAGTCTAGTATGTTTTATTTAGTAATGTGTGCAATTCCACAATTTTGGAATGGGGGTAGCGTGAGTCCTAATACTGCGTCTTCTTGGTTTCCTCTGCTTTCTAAACCCTATTGGAATTTAGGTGATAATCATGCACTTCCTACCTTTGAGACTTGGGCCTCCACCTTCAACCCTTGAAATATGTGCAAATGCACACATCTGCACAGAAATCTACTCATTTGTAATGGTGGAAAAGGCTACATATATGTGCTCTGTATGTGCTAAAGTAAGTAGCTCATGCTTCATTAGAGCCGTTTGCTTTAGCAGCCATTAGATGCCCGAATATTCAATTTTGTTTGTTCCAGTGAAGTGTATGCCTTGCAAGAAAGCTTTCCACCACCGCACATCTTCAATCTTCAATAAACAAAAACCAATTAAAATTAGTGATATATGTTGGTCTCGAGTCCATCTCTTCCCTAGCAAACAGCAGCTACGAAGCGACGTATACGAATAAATCGAGTTAATGTCTGAGAGAATCTCGATTTGATGTAAATTGGAGAAGAACAGAGCGCGTTTTTTTTCTTGCTCGGGGGGTTCGCCCACAATTCGTGAATGGACGGCCGACTGGAGAGGAAGGCGCCGCCCCACAGCACCGTGAAGTCATCAGCTCATCGCGTTTCGTTCATTTCCTCTCCTCTCCTCTCCTCAAAATAGCAAGAGTTTAGCAATTCATTCTGGATGAATTCCTAGCTGCCGTAATCTTGAACAAAAATTTTTCGCTGCCATAATTTACCGTAAAGCCAGAAAATAAAGCTCGCTGTAGTACTTATTCTCATGAAAATTAGGCTATTTGGTCTCTTTTTTAATCCCTCCTTATTTCCATTTGTTTCGTATATTCATGCTATATGTTATAAACACTTCTGCGACTTCACTTCTAGCACTTTCCTTTACCACTTTTCTTGCAACGAAAAAAGCCTATTACTCACACTCTCGCTCGAAGATATTGAGGTTTACTTTATTCCTTTCTATTACAACGAAATGGTCTCATGATTTGTGAGAAAATTCCCAAGCGCTACTAATTAGTGGCCGTAGATTGAAAAAAATTGATTATTCTGAGGTAGGCACTAATGAATTTCTTCTTTTTCCATAAGATTCCGAAAATACCTTGAACTTCTAACAGCCTTAGTGACTACACCATTTGTGCTGGTCTTCAGTAACCAAGTTATTTCAATACAACAACTTTCAAAATTTGAAAGTAAAGACTACAGTCGGAGCACGACATTTCTTACGTAAGAATCAATTTTTTTCATATGGAAACTGTAGCGTCCTGCAAAAATGATCAAAAACTGTTTGTTTTATGTCATGCGAAAACTATGAGCATCAATTTTCCACGTATAGGTCTTAATATAAGGTTACACTTGACGAAAAAAGATCTCTAAAAAATATGGAGGGCTGTAGCTTTTCGTAGGCATCTCACAAACGAAAAAACTATTTTTTGAATCAAATTTCTTTGAACTATTTGTGGCTAATTTTCGAGTTGCTTTATTAAAGAGCTTAAACTTTCTTGAACTGCCTTAGTATTCGCATTTCTACTGATGCTCCCTGAAATCCATAAAAAGGTAAATAATGAATAAGAGTGATGCGAGAATTTTTAAGGGAGAGATGAAGTGTCATTGAATTGCTTGTTGGTCTTCTCCAACTTTGTCCGAGTAGAAAATCCTTCTCATATACGGAAAATATGAGATTTTTCCGAAATTTCTAGAGTTTTCCGGAGGTGACGAAGTCAGTGAAAAGTGTAACAAAACTTATGTTATGAGCTAATACTTACTGGCTAATATTTGCCTTCAGTGACCAAGTTTAACATCTAAATAGAACAGCTTCCAAATTTGGAAAAAACGGGTGCTACGTTTACCACTTAATTAATTATTCAGTTAGAAGTGCAACTGCAGCAAGAGTGAGAGTGAGATTGCTTATTTCTAGTATGAGTTACTATCATCTGTCTTCGCATCTATCATCAAAGTGTTAGAGAAAGTTCTGAAGACAGACTTACGTCACGGCCCATCATGCTACAATTCATAAAGTGCAAAAATATCTTTAGAAAATTTAGGAGATAAACATGCTCGTCGACATGCACTGTCATGCTCTTAAATCTTGTATCACTGAACATGAGTCGGTTCAAATTTCTTGCACTTTTCTATTTCCACGCCTTCCGCCCTCTCCTCAAAGTTCACGGATTGGATGCGCTGCTTCCCTAAAGGATTCTGGCACTATACTTCGTATCTTCTCATCAAAACTTTTCGTAAGAGACTCGCTGCGACCGCCTTTATTTACTTTGAGCCTATTTCATCTTGAATATAATCTCTTCTACTTTCCTTCTCGATTTCGAATCTCATCTGACCATTCTCTCAAATCTCCGCTCCAGTTGGATGCCCTTTTTCAGGCTGAGTTCATCATCTGCGGCGACGGTCAATCTCTCAAATTGAACATCAAAGAAGTTCTCTTCACTAACGTCGGAAAAACCTTCTTATAAGATGGAAGTGGACACGCCACTGATATTCTGCAATGCTTGCCTAGGATCAACTGATCCTGACTATCAAGTGGGTTGAAGAGGGTCTGCTAAGCGCAGTGTAATTGATATGAGCACTTCAGACATATAACTTGACGGTCTCTGGAGTAATCTTAGCTCTCGTCGGTGTTGTTGGTCTTGTTGGGAATATTCTCGTCGTCGCTGTGTATACTCATGATGACCACAAGGTAATGCTGATTATTGAGTTGGTCCAAAATTCGTTCGCATATTTTGCAAAAAATCATAACTTCTTCGCATTTTAATGCATATTTCTGATCGTATTTTTGTTCGAAACCCGAAATCATGCGCTTTACACACTAGTTCTGTCGTGAATAATCTGAGAAAATCTAAGAATTAAGAGCAAAAGAAAGTTGACCAAGATTGGCAGTTTTGAGCAAAATCCTAAATTCTGAAAGGAACGGCGGTGAGATATAACATTACCAGATATTCTTTACGAAGCCAGTACTAGTTTTGTCAAACCACAGGCTTGCATTCTACAAAAATTTGCAAAAATGATTTTTTTGCCGAATTTCTGTGATTGTTCGACTAATTAATACTCAGCACTCATTACTTATTCAGTTAGTGACCGAACTGGGGAATATCCAGCTTCGTAGATTTTTTAGTGGAACTCAAACTGAAGGTTTGACATAGCTAGTATCCATTTTGCAGCAAACTATCGAATTGTGAAGAGAGTTTTGTCAATTCTTCTTATAACTACCAGGACTGAATGAGAATACAAAGGCTGGTTTGGGATGTGTTCATAGTGCAGGATGGCGTCAGCAGCCAAATACGCAATTCAGCTTGATAAATTAACGACAAACAAGAAAGAACTCCCTCAAAAAGGAGATTAAGCCGCTGCGCTCAGCTCTGCGAAAGGCACATTTTTCAAGTAATAGACGCGCGAAATTTGCAGAAGCTATTTAAAGTTCATTCTATACTCATCGAATTGAACTGATGAAGCGACATCCCGCCAATACTTGCTCCAGTGTCTGGGCCTTTTTCCAGACGAGAAATATCCCATTGATTCCAGAGTTCACGAATCCGCACTCTCCACCTCTCTTGAAACGCAGTTTGGAGAAGAGCATCCATGAGATACCTAATTTGTATTCTAAGGTTGTCAGAACACATGACCAAAATATCAGTGATTGAAAATCACATTATAGAAACAAACTGACTCAACCTCTAATGTTAGAACTTTCTCTACAACATAATATCATAATAGGTCTTATTAACCTTTTACTACTTTGGGATACCTTGGTTGAAAAATATAATCTTGAGTAAATTTCCTTTTTGCTTCTACTCAAACTTTCTCTTACTGATTTACTACAGCGGTAGTGCTTTTAATAGCATAATTTCCAGATTTGAAAAAAACAATCCAAAAAGGCTGAAATAAGAAGTTCTGATTTTCGAAAAACTTGCGAACGAACTTTGAACAAACCAACTTGATACAATCTTCGTTTGTTATAAGTGGTTATCAATCTTTTCAGAAGCTTTCGACCTCGGTTTACCTGGCAGCACTTGCTTTCTCAGACTTCTTCTTAATTTTCACTGCCATGTTCCTCTTTGTGCTCGAAGCTTGGAGACATCACAATCACCCATGTGGGTCTATTTTTTTCAGTTCAGTTTGGTTAGGCTACCAGGACTCTGACTATTCGATCATCACTCTACTACAAGTGGCTCTGGGGATTCACCCAATAACTCGCAAGCTTTCAAATAAGTTGCCTAGCACATGAGTTGATTGCCAGCCTTTAGACATGATGCATGGCATTTTGGGGAAAATTTCGCTCATATGAACTAGTAAAATAAAAAAATGAATGGGGATGAGACCCTATGCGACTCATTAAAAATGTGATAAAATGGATCTCTTCTTATGATATTCCATGCTAACTCCCTTTCGTTTTGTATTCTTCTTCGAGAATGAATGATTAGCAACAAAGATCTCTGAAGGATTGCTTCTGAGCTCGATGACGGACCTTGTTATTAACTTCTCATAAAATCTAAATGTTTATTCTATGAGATATGTAAAAAAGTTCTCATTTCAATTCAGCACAGCGAATGTTTGTATGCGTTCCTTGTTCTTTTATATCACCAAAAGACTTCCGCGATGGGTAAACGAGAGTTCAATTTTTTCAGTTATGTTTAGAGTAGAAGTGAATTCTTTTGCTCAATATATTATCGAACTGGTCATGCAACTGTTCCTTTTCTATTAGCGATTGGTATCCGATAGCAATAGCGATACTGTGTCAAAGTACTAACTACTATTAACTTTAACGTATGTACATGAGCTTAGAATTATGTGGTCCTCCCAATCATTTTGAAAAACGGCATATGAAATTAATTAAATTAATTGAATTCTGGTAACAAATTCTACCAGAATGTACTGTATGACTGGTTAGACTTGTGTTTGAATTTCTGTGTTCTTTTTTAATGGCGCACCTCGAGTGCATATAAATAAATAAATAAGTAAATAAATAAATATGTTTGGGGAGTATGGTGGAAATATTCCCTTATACCCCATCCTTCATGGAAAACTCATGCTCTGAAATATTGATATCTCTAATCTCCTAAAGATGCAAATTTGAAACTTCTGAGGTTGACCAAGCTTCACATCCTATCGCATTCAGAATTCCCAAAGAAGTCCATCGCTGATTTTATAGATGAGAACGACTCATCTGTCCTCTAGCAATTAGTAGTATAAAATACATGCGAAAGGATGAATTTCGTTGGCCTCTTCATCTATTGTAGATTTTTAAAACGTAGGCAGAGGAAGTGAAAACTTCGGAATAGAACTAATTCGCTGATTTGTTTAAGCAAAATACAGCAAAAAGCAACCGCATTTATTCATCAGGTAACCGGGAGCAGGGTTTCTTTTTTCTTCATATTTTTTAATTCAATACATATACTGAAGTTCCATTCACCATACAATAAAGTCATATCTCAATTCGATACCTTGCTTATTCTTTGTGTTACATGGAATACTTTATCAAGGAGCTCGGCTTCAACCTTTATTTGCTCACATCCTGCATAGCCCACAATTTCGTGTTTCAGGTGATTTTTCCTGTGAGCACAAAAGCAGAAAGCCAGCTCTCAAAGGGCGCCTTTGCTAGCAAAATTGCTAGCAAACTTCTTTCCTACCCGAGTATATTCTAAGGACACTCAGATGCTTGGAGTTGTTGTGGACTTCCCCTATGAACTTTCGCATAATTCTAAAAGTAGTTTGGGACACAGTGCACTTCGCCACATCCTATCAACTTATTTGCCTTCTTGAGTGGGCGCAAAGTAGATAACTGGCTGCGTGGATAAGGAGTCTTTTCGGGATTGAATTGCTTTGCCATGAGAATCGAGACCTGGATAAAGCGGCAAAGTGGGGAGCATCTCATCTTGCAGTAGGACCGAGCTTAATAAGAACGCATTGATGATGCTATGTACGGCTGTCAACTAACTCGTTTATCGTGGATGAGCGGCAAGAAGTTGGCTGAGAACAACTCAGGAGGACGTCCAAAGCTTGAAAAACTGGAACAAAGGTGCTCTAGGAAAAAGTTGCCCCTCAATGGACTGTTCGCATACATAATCAGTCTGCTCACAAGCCCTCAAAACTCGTTTTTTTACTTGCGTCGAAACAAGCACTTGCCTTTCTTCGAAAAGAAAGTTACTAATTATGCGTTGCTTCCTTCCGAAGTGAGAGGTGCCTCACAGAAGTTATATAATATTTGCGAAAATTGAGATGATTTTACATCTCTTTTTGGAGCCATCCTCAAATGTGATGGAATATTAACAGACAAGTGCTCTGAACACTCTTTAACGTAGATTTTCTTCCATTTTCGGCGGCTATAATACCCTACTAAATTCAGCAACAACTACTGAACTAATCGCAAAAGTTTCAAACACAAAGGTTTTTACCATCAAATTCTATAGTTCGCACAGCTGCATACAAAAATTTTGGATCATGATATTTCAAAGCGGTAAACGCTTGGCTACTTTGCAGTTTGACTGCTGCAATCAGAACTTTATAGCATCGAATTTTAAACCAATGTCGTGAGGGTTTCGTAGGCGTTTGTGCTTTTGCTACACAAATTTTGATAAATTGAAGTAATTATCATAAAGGCTAGGAAAGGCAGGAAGACCCAGAAGAGAGTACTAAACCTATTTTGCTCCATTTTCAGGTAACCGAATGTTCTTCAAGATTTTAGCTGAGGACTGCGACCGTTAGCTAAAGTTACAGAAGACAAAAACGGTGGTTTCGAATCTTTGGGGATTTTTTGAGCTTTTGAGCTTCTAGTATTTATGAAAAAATCAGCTTCATGATGTAAGTGCTGAGAGGAAGAGGAAAGAAACTAGAAACTAGAAACTGTCTAGTGTACATTACTGTATCTCATTTGTGGAAATTCCGAAATGGGAGGTGAAAAGTTCTCATTGATTTGGAATCAACTAGTGGGTCCTTATTGTCTGATTCCCTCAACCTCACTTCCATGAATTTCTAGATAACTTATTGATCAAGGATTGTTTACTGGCTCTTAGAGACATAGACTGGTATATGTAATTTGCACATTTGCAACAAACTCGAATGGTTAAAATGCTTTTTAGATTAGAACATAAATATTGCACCAAAAATTCTCAAAAATTCATTTGGAAATGCTTGGATAAACATTTCAGCCTGTATGATATATTAGGTTGATGCGAAATTAATGAGCGTTTTTCTAGAACTTTTTCTGGACAACTTTTCTCAATCAAACTTCTTCCTTTGAAAATGCTTCAACACATTATTGAGAAGCTCTTTTCATGTTCTATACAAAGCTGCTTAGAACGGAATTTAGCCTAGTCTGTTAAGTATTTATAGGGCTTCAAATGACCGCACTTAGCACCAGATTTTTATTTCATTCACTTTTCTGGCCAGAATTCAAGCGCAAATTGAGGCGCGTTTGTAAAAATTTCGCCTCTATATGTAATAGAAATCATCCACATTATGCAAACTTAACCATATTTTCTGAAGTTACCTAAGCTAAGCTATCGGCGCCTTAATATGGGTAATGGTTGCGATCATTCTACAGCCCACATCTTTTTGTAGAGCAATCCCTAAAGTTTTGCTCATTTCTGTAAGCGCGAGGGTAGAGCATTCTGTCGACAGCTTTAGCAAAGGCGTTTAGCTGTTCAGCACGCAGAAAATTAGAAAATTCTATGATTCGGGATTTTGAGACTTACTGAAAAAATACCGAAAAAGATGATATTTTTATATTTTGATTTTTTCCTTTACACCAATCTCTTGTCTCCAACTTTTTATTTTTTTTGTATTACTGACTTGCGGCTACAATATAGGCTACATATAAATTATACTAACAGACTGTGAAGGGACTTATGTTTGTCAGAAACAAGACTCCTGAAAAAACTTGTTTTGTTCTTCAATTCATATTTTTCTGCCCATGTGAGACATGAGTACAACTTGATGTGCGTTGTTTTGCGAAAGGCTCGCTGCATCTGAAGATCTTTACCCCATCTCAAAATGTAGATTGTATAGAAAGTCAAAGCAAGTTGAAGTGAAAATTTGAAAAACGCTCATTGTTTTTGCATCAACCTAATATTTTTCCTAAAAATATATGCAGCATTTTCTCAAAGTGAGCAGATTTCAAGTCTTGCACCAAAAATTTTAAAAAATTATAAACTTCCAGAAACTTCAATGAAAATTTTTAGTGTCAGGTAGAGAAAATATTGCATATTCCAAATGTACTTGAAGCAAAATATCGCAATGAAACAAGCTGATAAAAAAGCACTCAAAAGTGTTTTTCGATTTCGCTTGCTGAACTTAATCACTAGAACGTCTTCTAAATTCTCAATTTGGTTTCGTTTTTGTTTCCTGACATGTTCTTTTTACATGAAAAAAGTAATGGCTGATTGACTTTTCTACGAATAATTGTGATTTTGGGATTTTTTATTCATTCTGCCATCAATATGAATCTTCAATATTTATGGTAAGGTGCAACTTTTGAAATATGTAACAAAAAAGTGAATGATTTGCTTCGAAAAAGGTTATTTTGATGTTTTTAAAATGAATATGAAAAATATTCCTGATTGTGAGACCTATGTATGAACCTAATAGAGACGTATGAATGAATCTGATAGAAACATATGATTAGCCTAATTTCATGAGTACAAAACGTACTTCTATGTACGGAGATGCACGATAGAGGGTCCTTCGGCCGCAAAATTTTTTGGTACGTTCAGGCCGGTTGAGTTGAGCGTTTTGTACTCGTGCACTAAAAAGTACTAAAAAGTCAGCTCCTCAAAAAAAAATGGGCCATGAACTCGTATCAGGAGCGATATCAGAAGTTGCTGAAGTTCATTTTTAGCAACCGAAAAATAAAAAGATTGCATCTCGTTCCTTCATTAGCTAGAATTGCTGCAATATGACAACAGTGATCTTTGTTTCAAGAATTGCTAAGGAGCGAAAGACTTCTCCATTCAGCATTATCACATACGCCCGTCTTTAACTTTGGATACAATCACGACTTGCAATGCAAATATTTCGGTGCAAGACTTATGTTCCAATCTATTATAATACATGCAAAATTTGAATTTTGGCGTTGTTGATATATCGAAGGCGTATT